GCACCTAGATGTTCTTCACAGATTCTGTCAGACCTGGGCCCTGACAGTAAATCTCAGTAAGACAAAAATAATTGTGTTACAAAAAAGGTCCAGTTGCCAGGACCACAAATAAAAATTCCATCTAGACTCTGTTGCCCTAGAGCACACAAAAAACTACACATACCTCGGCCTAAACATCAGCGCTACAGGTAACTTCCACAAAGCTGTGAATGATCTGAGAGACAAGGCAAGAAGGGCCTTCTATGCCATCAAAAGGAACATAAAATTTGACGTACCAATTAGGATCTGGCTAAAAATACTTGAATCAGTTATAGAACCCAATGCCGTTTATGGTTGTGAGGTATGGGGTCCGCTCACCAACCAAAAATTCACAAAATGGGACAAACACTAAATTGAGACTCTGCATGCAGAATCATGCAAAATATCCTCTGTGTACAACGAAAAACACCAAATAATGCATGCAGAGCAGAATTAGGCCGATATCCGCTAATTAACAAAATCCAGAAAAGAGCCGTTAAATTCTATAACCACTTAAAAGGAAGCAATTTCCAAACCTTCCATAACAAAGCCATCACCTACAGAGAGATGAACTTGGAGAAGAGTCCCTTAAGCAAGCTGGTCCTGGGGCTCTGTTCACAAACACAAACAGACCCCACAGAGCCCCAGGACAACAATACATTTAGACCCAACCAAATCATGAGAAAACAAAAAGATAATTACTTGACACATTGGAAATAATAAAAATAAAAAAACAGAGCAAACTAGAATACTATTTGGCCCTAAACAGAGAGTACACAGTGGCAGAATACCTGACCACTGTGACTGACCCAAACTGAAGGAAAGCTTTGACTATGTACAGACTCAGTGAGCATAGCCTTGCTATTGAGAAAAGCCGCCGTAGGCAGACCTGACTCTCATATGTGCACACTGCCCACAAATGAGGTGGAAACTGAGCTGCACTTCCTAACTTCCTGCCAAATGTATGACCATATTAGAGACACATATTTCCCTCAGATTACACAGATCCACAACGAATTCGAAAACAAACCCAATTTCGATAAACTCCCTTATCTACTGGGTGAAATACCACAGTGTGCAATCACAGCAGCAAGATTTGTGACCTGTTGCCACAAGAAAAGGTCAACCAGTGAAGAACAAACACCATTATAAATACAACCCATATTTATGTTTATTTATTTTCCCATTTGTACTTTAACTATTTGCACATCGTTACAACACTGTATATAGACATAATATGACATTTGAAATGTCTTTATTCTTTTGGATATTCTGAGTGTAATGTTTACTGTTAATATTTATTGTTTATTTCAATGTTAACATACGTTTCCCATGCCAATAAAACCCTTGAATTGAAATTGAATAGAGAGAGAAATATATAGAGAGAGAAATAGAGAGAGAGAGAGAGAGAGAGAGAGAGAGAGAGAGAGATAGAGAGAGAGAGAGAGAGAGAGAGAGAGAGAGAGAGAGAGAGAGAGAGAGAGAGAGAGAGAGAGATAGAGAGAGAGAGTCTTTCTTTTATCCCAGAGTGTCACTGTGGGGCATTTCAACACATCTGTGACGAGTACTGAGGATAAGAAGAGGCAGGACACAGACGCAGGAATAAACAATGTAAAGGTTTACTTAACACTGAGCAAGAGAACAACAAAGAGTGAGTACACGACCAGACACTAACAATTACACACAACACAACACTGAACAGTCCAGGGCTGTATAGGGGTGGTGATGAGATGATAAGGTGCAGGTGCGCTGGAGGTGATTAGGGTGCGTTGGGTTTCCATTCCGGTATTGCCGAGGTGGTGCGCTCAGACCGGTGGCTCAGTAGACCGGCGAATCAGAGCGCCGGAGGGGAGCAACGGGAGGAGACGTGACAACATCCCTGTCCAAGCAGAAGGAAGATCACCCTGTAGATCAGAGTGTGGATCACCCTGTAGATCAGAGTGTGGATCAGAGTGTAGATCACCCTGTAGATCACCCTGTAGATCAGAGTGTGGATCAGAGTGTAGATCACCCTGTAGATCAGAGTGTGGATCAGAGTGTAGATCACCCTGTAGATCAGAGTGTAGATCACCCTGTAGATCACCCTGTAGATCAGAGTGTAAATCAGAGTGTAGATCAGAGTGTAGATCAGAGTGTGGATCACCCTGTAGACCACCCTGTAGATCAGAGTGTAGATCAGAGTGTAGATCAGAGTGTAGATCACCCTGTAGATCAGAGTGTGGATCAGAGTGTAGATCACCCTGTAGATCAGAGTGTGGATCAGAGTGTAGATCACCCATTAGATCACCCTGTAGATCAGAGTGTAAATCAGAGTGTAGATCAGAGTGTAGATCAGAGTGTGGATCACCCTGTAGATCACCCTGTAGATCAGAGTGTAGATCAGAGTGTAGATCAGAGTGTGGATCAGAGTGTAGATCACCCTGTAGATCAGAGTGTAGATCAGAGTGTAGATCACCCTGTAGATCAGAGTGTAGATCAGAGTGTAGATCAGAGTGTAGATCACCCTGTAGATCAGAGTGTAGATCAGAGTGTAGATCAGAGTGTAGATCACCCTGTAGATCAGAGTGTAGATCAGAGTGTAGATCACCCTGTAGATCAGAGTGTAGATCAGAGTGTAGATCACCCTGTAGATCAGAGTGTAGATCACCCTGTAGATCAGAGTGTAGATCAGAGTGTAGATCACCCTGTAGATCAGAGTGTAGATCAGAGTGTAGATCACCCTGTAGATCAGAGTGTAGATCACCCTGTAGATCAAAGTGTAGATCAGACTGTAGATCAGTGTGGATCAGAGTGTAGATCACCCTGTAGATCAGAGTGTAGATCAGAGTGTAGATCACCCTGTAGATCAGAGTGTAGATCAGAGTGTAGATCACCCTGTAGATCAGAGTGTAGATCAGAGTGTAGATCACCCTGTAGATCAGAGTGTAGATCACCCTGTAGATCAAAGTGTAGATCACCCTGTAGATCAGAGTGTAGATCAGAGTGTAGATCACCCTGTAGATCAAAGTGTAGATCACCCTGTAGATCAGAGTGTAGATCACCCTGTAGATCAGAGTGTAGATCAGAGTGTAGATCACCCTGTAGATCAAAGTGTAGATCACCCTGTAGATCAGAGTGTAGATCAGAGTGTAGATCACCCTGTAGATCAGAGTGTAGATCAGAGTGTAGATCAGAGTGTAGATCAGAGTGTAGATCACCCTGTAGATCAGAGTGTAGATCAGAGTGTAGATCACCCTGTAGATCAGAGTGTAGATCACCCTGTAGATCAAAGTGTAGATCAGACTGTAGATCAGTGTGGATCAGAGTGTAGATCACCCTGTAGATCAGAGTGTAGATCAGAGTGTAGATCACCCTGTAGATCAGAGTGTAGATCAGAGTGTAGATCACCCTGTAGATCAGAGTGTAGATCACCCTGTAGATCAAAGTGTAGATCACCCTGTAGATCAGAGTGTAGATCACCCTGTAGATCAAAGTGTAGATCACCCTGTAGATCAGAGTGTAGATCACCCTGTAGATCAAAGTGTAGATCACCCTGTAGATCAGAGTGTAGATCAGAGTGTAGATCACCCTGTAGATCACCCTGTAGATCAGAGTGTAGATCAGAGTGTAGATCAGAGTGTAGATCACCCTGTAGATCAGAGTGTAGATCAGAGTGTAGATCAGAGTGTACATCAGAGTGTAGATCACCCTGTAGATCAGAGTGTAGATCACCCTGTAGATCACCCTGTAGATCAGAGTGTAGATCAGAGTGTAGATCAGAGTGTAGATCAGAGTGTAGATCACCCTGTAGATCAGAGTGTAGATCAGAGTGTAGATCACCGTGTAGATCAGAGTGTGGATCAGAGTGTAGATCACCCTGTAGATCAGAGTGTAGATCAGAGTGTGGATCACCCTGTAGATCAGAGTGTGGATCAGAGTATAGATCAGAGTGTGGATCTCCCTGTAGATAAGAGTGTGGATCAGAATGTAGATCACCCTGTAGATCAGAGTGTAGATCAGAGTGTAGATCAGAGTGTAGATCACCCTGTAGATCACCCTGTAGATCACCCTGTAGATCAGACTGTAGATCAGAGTGTAGACCAGAGTGTAGATTACCCTGTAGATCAGAGTGTAGATCACCCTGTAGATCAGAGTGTGGATCAGAGTGTAGATCACCCTGTAGATCAGAGTGTAGATCAGAGTGTAGATCAGTTGGTGTAGATCAGAGTGTAGATCACCCTGTAGATCAGGGTGTAGATCAGATTGCAGATCACCTTGTAGATCAGAGTGTAGATCACCATGTAGATCAGAGTGTAGATCAGAGTGTAGATCAGAGTGTAGATCAGAGTGTAGATCACCCTGTAGATCAGGGTGTAGATCAGAGTGTAGATCAGAGTGTAGATCAGAGTGTAGATCACCCTGTAGTTCAGAGTGTAGATCACCCTGTAGATCAGAGTGTAGATCACCCTGTAGATCTGAGTGTAGATCAGAGTGCAGATCAGAGTGTAGATCACCCTGTAGATCAGAGTGTAGATCAGAGTGTAGATCACCATGTAGATCAGAGTGCAGATCAGAGTGTAGATCAGAGTGTAGATCAGAGTGTAGATCACCCTGTAGATCACCCTGTAGATCAGAGTGTAGATCACCCTGTAGATCAGACTGTAGATCAGAGTGTAGATCACCCTGTAGATCAGAGTGTAGATCACCCTGTAGATCTGAGTGTAGATCAGAGTGTAGATCAGAGTGTAGATCACCCTGTAGATCAGAGTGTAGATCAGAGTGTAGATCAACTTGTAGATCACCCTGTAGATCAGAGTGCAGATCAGAGTGTAGATCACCCTGTAGATCAGAGTGTAGATCAGAGTGTAGATCACCATGTAAATCAGAGTGCAGATCAGAGTGTAGATCACCCTGTAGATCACCCTGTAGATCAGAGTGCAGATCAGAGTGTAGATCACCCTGTAGATCAGAGTGTATATCAGAGTGTAGACCACCCTGTAGATCAGGGTGTAGACCACCCTGTAGATCAGGGTGTAGATCAGAGTGTAGATCACCCTGTAGATCAGAGTGTAGATCAGAGTGTAGATCAGAGTGTAGATCAGAGTGTAGATCACCCTGTAGATCAGAGTGTAGATCAGAGTGTAGATCAGAGTGTAGATCAGAGTGTAGATCACCCTGTAGATCACCCTGTAGATCAGAGTGTAGATTAGAGTGTAGATCACCCTGTAGATCAGAGTGTAGGTCAGAGTATAGATCACCCTGTAGATCAGACTGTAGATCAGAGTGTGGATCAGAGTGTAGATCACCCTGTAGATCACCCTGTAGATCAGAGTGTAGATCACCCTGTAGATCAGACTGTAGATCAGAGTGTGGATCAGAGTGTAGATCAGAGTGTAGATCAGAGTGTAGATCAGAGTGTGGATCAGAGTGTGGATAACCCTGTAGTTCAGAGTGTAGATCAGAGTTTAGATCACCCTGTAGATCAGAGTGTAGATCACCCTGTAGATCAGAGTGTAGATCACCCTGTAGATCAATGTGTGGATCAGAGTGTAGATCACCCTGTAGATCAGAGTGTAGATCGCCCTGTAGATCAGAGTGTAGATCACCCTGTAGATCAGAGTGTAGATCAGAGTGTAGATCACCCTGTAGATCACCCTGTAGATCACCCTGTAGATCAGACTGTAGATCAGAGTGTAGATCAGAGTGTAGACCAGAGTGTAGATTACCCTGTAGATCAGAGTGTAGATCACCCTGTAGATCAGAGTGTGGATCAGAGTGTAGATCACCCTGTAGATCAGAGTGTAGATCAGAGTGTAGATCAGTTGGTGTAGATCAGAGTGTAGATCACCCTGTAGATCAGGGTGTAGATCAGATTGCAGATCACCTTGTAGATCAGAGTGTAGATCACCATGTAGATCAGAGTGTAGATCAGAGTGTAGATCAGAGTGTAGATCAGAGTGTAGATCACCCTGTAGATCAGGGTGTAGATCAGAGTGTAGATCAGAGTGTAGATCAGAGTGTAGATCACCCTGTAGATCTGAGTGTAGATCAGAGTGTAGATCAGAGTGTAGATCACCCTGTAGATCAGAGTGTAGATCAGAGTGTAGATCACCCTGTAGATCACCTTGTAGATCAGAGTGTAGATCACCCTGTAGATCACCCTGTAGATCAGAGTGTAGATCACCCTGTAGATCAGACTGTAGATCAGAGTGTGGATCAGAGTGTAGATCAGAGTGTAGATCACCCTGTAGATCACCCTGTAGATCAGAGTGTGGATCAGAGTGTAGATCACCCTGTAGATCACCCTGTAGATCAGAGTGTAGATCACCCTGTAGATCACCCTGTAGATCAGAGTGTAGATCACCCTGTAGATCAGACTGTAGATCAGAGTGTGGATCAGAGTGTAGATCAGAGTGTAGATCACCCTGTAGATCACCCTGTAGATCAGAGTGTGGATCAGAGTGTAGATCAGAGTGTATATCACCCTGTAGATCACCCTGTAGATCAGAGTGTGGATCAGAGTGTAGATCACCCTGTAGATCACCCTGTAGATCAGAGTGTAGATCACCCTGTAGATCACCCTGTAGATCAGAGTGTAGATCACCCTGTAGATCAGACTGTAGATCAGAGTGTGGATCAGAGTGTAGATCAGAGTGTAGATCACCCTGTAGATCACCCTGTAGATCAGAGTGTGGATCAGAGTGTAGATCAGAGTGTAGATCACCCTGTAGATCACCCTGTAGATCAGAGTGTGGATCAGAGTGTAGATCACCCTGTAGATCATCCTGTAGATCAGAATGTAGATCAGACTGTAGATCAGAGTGTGGATCAGAGTGTAGATCACCCTTTAGATCAGAGTGTGGATCAGAGTGTAGATCACCCTGTAGATCAGAGTGTAGATCAGAGTGTAGATCACCCTGCAAATCAGAGTGCAGATCACCTTGTAGATCAGAGTGTAGATCACCTTGTAGATCAGAGTGTAGACCACCCTGTAGATCAGGGTGTAGATCAGAGTGTAGATCACCCTGTAGATCAGACTGTAGATCAGAGTGTGGATCAGAGTGTAGATCAGAGTGTAGATCACCCTGTAGATCACCCTGTAGATCAGAGTGTGGATCAGAGTGTAGATCACCCTGTAGATCATCCTGTAGATCAGAGTGTAGATCAGAGTGTAGATCACCATGTAGATCAGAGTGCAGATCAGAGTGTAGATCAGAGTGTAGATCACCCTGTAGATCAGAGTGTAGATCACCCTGTAGATCAGACTGTAGATCAGAGTGTGGATCAGAGTGTAGATCAGAGTGTAGATCAGAGTGTAGATCATCCTGTAGATCAGAATGTAGATCAGACTGTAGATCAGAGTGTGGATCAGAGTGTGGATCACCCTGTAGATCAGAGTGTAGATCAGAGTGTAGATCACCCTTTAGATCAGAGTGTGGATCAGAGTGTAGATCACCCTGTAGATCAGAGTGTAGATCAGAGTGTAGATCACCCTGCAAATCAGAGTGCAGATCACCTTGTAGATCAGAGTGTAGATCACCCTGTAGATCAGAGTGTATATCAGAGTGTAGATCAGAGTGTAGATCACCCTGTAGATCAGAGTGTAGATCAGAGTGTAGATCACCCTGTAGATCAGAGTGTAGATCAGAGTGTAGATCAGAGTGTAGATCACCCTGTAGATCAGAGTGTAGATCAGAGTGTAGATCAGAGTGTAGATCACCCTGTAGATCAGAGTGTAGATCAGAGTGTAGATCAGAGTGTAGATCACCCTGTAGATCAGAGTGTAGATCAGAGTGTAGATCAGAGTGTAGATCACCCTGTAGATCAGAGTGTAGATCAGAGTGTAGATCACCCTGTAGATCAGAGTGTAGATCAGAGTGTAGATCAGAGTGTAGATCACCCTGTAGATCAGAGTGTAGATCCGAGTGTAGATCACCCTGTAGATCACCCTGTAGATCAGAGTGTAGATTAGAGTGTAGATCACCCTGTAGATCAGAGTGTAGGTCAGAGTATAGATCACCCTGTAGATCAGACTGTAGATCAGAGTGTGGATCAGAGTGTAGATCACCCTGTAGATCACCCTGTAGATCAGAGTGTAGATTAGAGTGTAGATCAGAGTGTAGATCAGAGTGTAGATCAGAGTGTGGATCAGAGTGTGGATCAGAGTGTAGATCAGAGTGTAGATCAGAGTGTAGATCAGAGTGTGGATCAGAGTGTGGATCACCCTGTAGTTCAGAGTGTAGATCAGAGTTTAGATCACCCTGTAGATCAGAGTGTAGATCACCCTGTAGATCAGAGTGTAGATCACCCTGTAGATCAGAGTGTAGATCGCCCTGTAGATCAGAGTGTAGATCACCCTGTAGATCAGAGTGTAGATCAGAGTGTAGATCACCCTGTAGATCAGAGTGTAGATCAGGCTGTAGATCAGAGTGTAGATCAGAGTGTAGATCAGAGTGTAGATCACCCTGTAGATCAGAGTGTAGATCACCCTGTAGATCAGAGTGTAGATCAGAGTGTAGATCAGTTGGTGTAGATCAGAGTGTAGATCACCCTGTAGATCAGAGTGTAGATCACCCTGTAGATCAGAGTGTAGATCAGAGTGTAGATCACCCTGTAGATCAGAGTGTAGATCAGAGTGTAGATCACCCTGTAGATCAGAGTGTAGATCAGAGAGTAGATCACCCTGTAGATCAGAGTGTAGATCACCCTGTAGATCAGTGTAGATCAGAGTGTAGATCACCCTGTAGATCAGAGTGTAGATCAGAGTGTAGATCACCCTGTAGATCAGAGTGTAGATCAGAGAGTAGTATCTCTGCAGGACATGTTGTAGTGAAGCCCCAGTCTCTCCTGATAGACACAACATAACAGCCCACCAGACCAGTGCACATGTAAGGGTTGGTTCTGTGTGTTAACGATAAAGAAGCAGATAGTCCAGCCCGTTTGGCCCCTGTTGTTGGAGATGACCAGCCTCACATCTCTTCACTGTCTCTGTCTTTTCCAGACCATTTAAAAAGGTCATGCTTTTTTTAATGATACATTCAACACATGTACTGTATGTATGCGTTATAGTGATTAATGTTACAGTGATTCATGTTACAGTGATTCATGTTACAGTGATTCATGTTACAGTGATTCATGTTACAGTGATTCATGTTACAGTGATTCATGTTACAGTGATTCATGTTACAGTGATTCATGTTACAGTGATTCATGTTACAGTGATTCATGTTACAGTGATTCATGTTACAGTGATTCATGTTACAGTGATTCATGTTACAGTGATTCATGTTACTGTAACGTATACAGTGTCTCTTATTCAGAGACAAGAAACAACAAACTCTCCCCTCACAAGGCATTCAATAATTTGCATGTGCCGTACAGCACTCTCTACGAGACATGTCTTTTCATTCACATAGCAAGGTTTCAGTTCTCTCTATGAGACATGTCTTTTCATTCACATAGCAAGGTTTCAGTTCTCTCTATGAGACATGTCTTTTCATTCACATAGCAAGGTTTCAGTTCTCTCTATGAGACATGTCTTTTCATTCACATCACAAGGTTTCAGTTCTCTCTATGAGACATGTCTTTTCATTCACATCACAAGGTTTCAGTTCTCTCTATGAGACATGTCTTTTCATTCACATCACAAGGTTTCGGTTCCCTCTATGAGACATGTCTTTGTCTGTCTCCCTACCTTTCACTATCACACCCATTTATAGAGCGTTATAAAACTGGGTGGTTCGAGCCCTGAATGCTGATTGGCTGACAGCCGTGGTATATCAGACCGTATACCATGGGTATGACAAAACATGTATTTTTACTGCTCTCATTACATTAGTAACCAGTTTATAATAGCAATAAGGCACCTCAGGGGTTTGTGGTATATTGGCCATATACCACGGCTAAGGGCTGTATCCAGGCACTCCGCGTTGCGTCGGGGATTTGTGGTATATTGGCCATATACCACGGCTAAGGGCTGTATCCAGGCACTCCGCGTTGCGTCGGGGATTTGTGGTATATTGGCCCATATACCACGGCTAAGGGCTGTATCCAGGCACTCCGCGTTGCGTCGGGGATTTGTGGTATATTGGCCATATACCACGGCTAAGGGCTGTATCCAGGCACTCCGCGTTGCGTCGGGGATTTGTGGTATATTGGCCATATACCACGGCTAAGGGCTGTATCCAGGCACTCCGCGTTGCGTCGGGGATTTGTGGTATATTGGCCATATACCGCGCCCCCTTGTGCCTTATTGCTTAACTACTTTATGTGTGTATAAACAGATTAACCAAATACAACCATTGCTAATTTTGGAAAACATTCCATTTGAAGACATTTTAATCATTCAGGCCAATAGCAAACCACTCTTAATGAGTACACACACACAAAGAAGTTCAAGCAAAGGCAGTGCAGTGCTGTTGCTATGTCATGTGCTACATTTAGTATGTACAGTGCTGTTGCTATGTCATGTGCTACATTTAGTATGTACAGTGCTGTTGCTATGTCATGTGCTACATTTAGTATGTACAGTGCTGTTGCCATGTCATGTGCTAAATGTAGTATGTACAGTGCTGTTGCTATGTAATGTGCTAAATTTAGTATGTACGGTGATGTTGCAATGTCATGTGCTACATTTAGTATGTACAGTGCTGTTGCTATGTCATGTGCTAAATGTAGTATGTACAGTGCTGTTGCTATGTCATGTGCTAAATTTAGTATGTACAGTGATGTTGCAATGTCATGTGGTACATTTAGTATGTACAGTGCTGTTGCTATGTCTTGTGCTACATGTAGTATGTTCAGTGTTGTGCGCTGACATTTCCAAAGAAACAAGTAGGCATATCATATTTCAAATATGTGATAACACTGGCAGAACTGGGAAGAAGTGGAATAATCCAATATGTGTGGGGAATACCAGTAGTGTTGTTACTGACAAGCATACTGTTCTCCCTATACTTTAGCCCATTGTTAAAAATTGTTCCACTGATTGGACTAAATCAATTAAATAGATAAAACAAATCTCCTGAAGACAAGATGACATTAATCTGCCCCTACACCCTAACCAAATTATTTGCATATTCATTGACCCCCCTTCTAGAATCAAACATACACTTTTGGGTTCACAATCTGTCTGACACAATTGTTTTCATAGTTACAAATCAGGTCACCCTACCAAACTTCCCTGGTAAAACATGCTGTAGGTCTGTCTGATGCCTTTTCGTTGTCACAGCCTATATGCCCATCACCAAACGAGGGGACTAATGCAAGTGTGGATTAAATCGACATTAGTACATCCTGGTAAAACATGCTGTTCAAACGCAGCATTCTGCAATAGGGACGGGAGTAACAGCAACCTAATGTGTTGAAAACGTTGTACATAAATCAACCGTGCTGCTCTTT